TTTCTTGTTATACAAAAGCAGTGGTTTTCGCCTATGCTGTTGCAAGTTTATTGTCAGATCATGTCTGATAACTCTCGAGGATCTGTTTACTCATCGAGCGATTTTATTGATTTCAGAGAAGATGTATAACTTTATTCTATTTTTGGAGACTTGTGGGTTCTTTCATAATACGTGGAGTTCTAGGTGCTTGCCACCGTTGAAAACGCAGCATCACATTGCAGTATACATTCTTGGGCCGTTTCACCACTAGGCAGATTTCGCTGGAAGGCATCGAATGGTTACACGTAATCATATTTTGGGAGATCATTAGGGTATCTTTAGTTTCACAGTTATAAGGTTGTTGAAAACGTTTTGACAAACCACCTAGGTCTTTGTAAATATATGACTCATCGCATATGAGAATCAGCTGGATTGCCTGGTAACGAAAAAGGAGTTCACAAATGACCGGGCTCGTTATGGTGTAGCATTGATTATAAATTCACAAAACCCCGTGCTGCGGAGAGTGGGCACAATTACTGCGTCAGCAATAAACCTTTAGATTATTCGTCTAAGCAACTGATTTTATTGTGCCAGAATAATCGAATTCAACACCTATTCACTCCGTGGTATCCGGTGAAGTCACGTGCGCTGTTTTCTGTGTTGCACATTTATGCTTTGCCGAAAAGTACTAAACCAAGCTCAGAACGTGCGTTTTCAAATACATAAGTCTAATTCGGATTTGGATTTTGTAACAGTTTCTTCAACGCAAGGACCTGCTTCAAATCCATTTGAGTTGAAAGCCAGAAACTAGTATGAGCATTTGTTTCGTGTGCAGTTGATAGTCCATTAGTATGGGCTAGGTAGAGGCTATTCGTGTACTGCTTTTTAACCCAAGTTATTATTCCGAGTTGTTGGATGGCACTGCGGCTGCAATGTACATCTCGCATTTGTAAAACATTTAATCACGAATGATTTATTTCTACTGATGCAACAAACTGGGTTGTCTCCAGGATCTTCATACGTTATAAACTAATTGTAGAATTTCTAGCTTGCAGATGCAAAGAGCGTTTGGAATTTGCCCACTGATGATGCCAACAAATTATACGGGTGCGAAGTTTTTTCTTCAACATTCCAGATGGTGCACTCGAGAAACTTCATTTCGTATTTAAGACACAAGTTTTATATCCGGATTTTATGTTGTAGCTTGAGGCCGTTGAAGAAACATGCATAGGATACACTTGAGTGCTACATTTGACGTCAGGTTAGTTTATCTGATTACTTTGTCGTGTTCGGGTGAATTGGCGAGAGTAGTTTGGGTGTTTTTCCAGAGTTTTTTTTGGTAAGATGTTCATCTGTATTTCTCAAGATGGAACAGGTATTTTGGTTTACTAATTACCAAGGTCTTGGAATCTTAGTTTACAGAATATATGTTATGACTTTGGCCAATTCTTGCAAATCTTTTTCAATGTAGCTGATCGGTGAATCTTTCTGCATTCGGTTATCCCACCCTTTTTAGTTGTAGCTGACAGTCTCTAAACGGTATACCATTATCTGTTTGGGCGGTCAGGCTCACGATGCGGAACCCATTGTGTATCATCAAATCGAAGTGCTCGACTAAGACTTTCTGTTTACGGTCTAACCTGCGTTTTTTGAGTTTTTTGATTGACATTGTTGATATCTCGTCAGTTCGAAAATAAACCCTCAGTTAGCTCTATCTATACACCGATTAAGCAGAAAGCCGTAACTGACAGATAGTATACATCTGGAAAATCCAAATCCAAATTGACTCCTTACAGTAACGAAGCCTGACTGAAATTCCGTTTTTACAATAAAACTTCGTGCGGCCAATGAACATAAATCGAATCTGTTTGTCAAAAATGTATGAATAGCGGAGGGTAGATGGTTGCTTTCATGACATAGGTTGATAAACCAATCTTAGCGATCATGCATCTACTAGTTTATCTAATGTCCGTCGTTCAAAGCTCTAATGAAATCTCGACTCCCACACTCATAAAGCGATTTCTTTGGGCAGGATATGATGAAAATTGTCCATATTGAGTTACTTGGTAATGAAGTTAATTTTCATAGGGGCAACAGTACTTCAGAGTAAATCGTTTGTTGAGTGGCGTATAGTTTTGTTTAACTCATGTGGTACAAACGGTCTACCATATCAGAATTATCTTTGAATACGTCCATGCAAATCCGTTTTCTTCTTGTAGCAATCAGAAAATTTACCTTTTCCTAGAGAAAAATAGCACTCATGTACGAAAACTATCCAAAAGAAATCTCATTTATGTCCTGATATCCTGAAGGTACTCTTAGCGATTCCCATCTTGTTGCTATAGTGTGACTTCAACATGCCTTCCTAAAATAATGGCTAAAAAAGAAAGACAAATGCATTCATCTACTGAATAAGGTAATCCAGTTCTATCATTGCCGCTTTGCAGGCTAGTCATTCTTTGACAGCTGGGAACTTTTAACCGGATCCAGCGACTTTCACTTTTGGCATGTTTGCTTATTTACTTTATATTTTGTGAGACAAAATGATTACATTGTTTATTAGTGTTACGCGCACTTCAGCCCTTTTTCCGTAGGAACCAGAGTACATTCGTCAGAAAATAAGCTAATGTATGGGCTTCTTCCAGTCAAAATGATTGCGAACCAGCGGGAAAATAACAAATATTTGAGCAATGCATAACACGGTAGCTGAGCATGATAGCAGAGGACTTCGGTATCACCCTAGTGTATTGATGACTGGCTGACGGCGACCGGCACTGAGGTTCAGGATTGGGCCATTCAGACCTGTCCATTTGTCCAGTTTGAAAAAGAAGCCCAATTGAGGTGTCTCGTAGCGTCCGTTCCTCTTGTTGCTGTTAAACAGGTTATTGTGCTCTTACTAAGTGAGTTAATTTTGTAGACGTTTTGATAGTGGCGTTAACAACCGAATCTGTGCCTGAAGGAGGAGGATTTGAAGTTTCTTGGTTAAAGTCGTGAATTCGAGGAGGAGTAGAGTCAAAACTAGTTTGAAATGTGCTCAGTTGCTGATAACCCTAAGGAAGAAACTGCGTATAGGACGCAGTACCTTATCTGTCAAAACGGTGGCCGACTTAAATCAAAATGTTTTCTGTGACAGGTCTCATCAAATCTTCTACGTATGCCTGGAGTGGTTATGAGCACCGCACAAGTATCGAACAAAGCACTCCTGATGGGTGTGCTGTTTTTCAGTAGTGAATACAATGGGTATAAAACACGACCCAGCATTATGGAGAATTTTATTGAAACATTCCAAACAATGGATTAAACTCTGTATGTCGGTTCGATGTATGTAATGGTTGAGCTTTTAGGTACACTTCAAAGGATTGTAGTGTAAGACGGTCGATCACGTGTGAACTTGTGCTTGATGTTGTGGCATTTAATTTATTGAACTTGTGAGTGTGGTCTTAAGAGTTTATGGCTATTGTTTGAGATACGACTATTCACAGAAGCGGATCATGCAGGCTAATCGATTTCAGCCAGTACGGTGCGTAATAACCTAGCAGGTCCACTCGTACGTCGTGTAAATCGGTAGAGTATAAGTGCGAGTTTGAGGTGCGCTACTTACAAGTACTTGCAGATTTCATCTCTCTAACGAGAGTTCTAGCGGGGAGGTAATGAGCCTGATGCTATATTATTGAAATAGGTTGATTAAAATAGCAGTACTTTGACGGGAGGAGGACTGTCATTAGAAGATGCAGCAGATTCAAATGTGGTGATAATGCAAACTGCTGCCTATGGGAAATTTGAGTACAATTCAGCCAAGATGAATTACAAATTAATTGGCACCACAAAACCGTCTACACCAGCTGACTCAACTTGCTTTAGAAATACGCCCGTGTCCCACGAGACTTTCTCATTTAAAACCTCTCAGGAACATGAAAGGTCAAAAACTTCGTTTCGAGTTAACTAATCGAGGTTTTTCATCGTTTGAGAAAAAAAGATAATATTCTCTGAGAAGTGAATTGATAGCTACCTTCTGTTCAAACAACTTTATAGCTAGTTGTCAGAACATCGGGATAGTTTAACTGATGTAATCACTTTGCGACATCAACCAGTGACTCACTCCAACCAGGTTCTCAAATGAATACAGCCTTGAAAAAAAGCGCAGTTTTACTCTTCAAATGTGACCTTCATTTCGCTGAAAATGTTTGGGTATGTCCTCATGGATTGTCTAGGAGGGACCTTACGCGTTTACATACGGCCGCGGAATTAGGAGTTCCTGTTGTCGCTGGATTGTAAGATTCTCTCTTGAGAAGACCACTTTGAGTAAACAATTGAAGAGTGTCCAGAAACTCAATAAGTGGTAAGATGTCATGCAAAAAGCAAACTATTTTTCTTCATGTTACCTTTGCTCTGTGTCTAGAAGCTTTAGAATATAGTGTCACGTGCTCACTGACCGTTTTGCATGTACGCGTCTTCACAGAACGTTTGCATAAAATTCGGCCGAAATTTCTAACCCATTGTTTGATTTTTATCAAATCCCTTAAGAGAAGCGACGGATGTTCGTTAAAATACCTTGATTGGTAATACGTTGCCTGAATAAGTTGCTAACTGAGCACACCAATCTATACACCCAAATAAATTCCTCAGCCATAAGCATTCTAATTACACATTTGTGAAGAGAACATACTTGATCCAGACCCTGGATTGACGTTTCACTGATCAACAGCTCTCCACTTTAATTTGAGAACCATATATGTTCAGATCAAAATCGACCGGCCTTAAAACAGTGATATATTTTCAACGTTTTTTCTCCTCAGATTTTGTGACTCATCTTAACTTACTTGCCATTATATTCAGTGAGAGTTTTGGCTATGCTGTTCCAAATGTAGGGGCAGAGGAAACCGTCCATTTGTTCCTCGCCATGTATTCCAGTCACGGTTTCACTGTGGTTGTTCCTGGTGTGAATAATTAAAGCACAGTTGAATATGGTACCTTTCGAACACTAGTGCACTGATTCTGGTTTGACTATAAGCCTAACTTACCGAAGATCGTATTTCTGTGACAGTTGGCATTTCGGCCTCTCTATTTACAGAATCAAAAGCACTGTGCTATGCATAGATATTACATTTCCAATTATTGTCCTCAGCTCTTCTATTCTGTTTTGATTGTGCGTTTGAATGTTATAGGGCAGCTGTAGACCAATAGCGCATAGATACGATAATCTGTTTATTGGGTGGGACCTACCTCATATTTAGTGATGGTAGATCTCCTCTTCGATTTCTCACTTTTCCAGTAACTATCAAACTCATTTTTCATTCTCTGACACGTGTATTTGAGAGTTACATCACAGTGTACGTAGGATTAGTTACCAGCTCTTTGGACTTCTACAGCACGTTTGAGGTCGCAGATAAAAGAAACTTGATAAGGAGCAGGACGTCATGGTTGTCTAGACCGGACGTTTGATTGAATGCATCCTGAGATGGTCTTTCCTATTTAAACCCAGTTTGGGTTGGTTTCTATCTCGACGTATCCGGCTGTTAGCTGCCGATTCGTTCACCAAACGAAACAATAAGAGTCTACGGTAATGAGGACTGACACGTTATTTGCGGGAAACACGAAAAGTTCAGTTAGTGTAAAACACAATTTTTTAGGCAGCATTAGATGTAAATCCCAATATGTTTAGAAATAATTGGCCTTTACCATTGTTAGCCCTTTTATCATTTCAATTTGGCTTTAAGCCGGTGGAAACGATCCGCTTATGAGGAAAGGTTTTTGTTGTTGGTTTAATCGGAATAATATGATCCCAACGAAGGGCTGACATTTGATCTCATCATCCTCTCCCGAAGTTTCCTTCTTCGTACACCTGGGGCATATCGGAGCGAGTCATTACTCTGTTAGTGGCTTTCATTCAAATTTTTTCATCTTTCTATGAAATTTTAATTTTCCAGACCGCGCCAGCTGTGTAAAAAACGGAGGTCGTACCATACGACAATATCTCATGGAAAGTTCATTTTTATCCGAGCTTTGTGACAAGCGCTTTTCATTATGATAAGCGACAAAAACCATTTGGATCGCAGAATTGCATAGCGGATGTGATACGATTTATCCCAAGGAGTTTAACTGTATCGTGTTTGTATCCTTACTGAGAATCGTTACGTGTGTGTCGAAGGGATTGGACCGTGGCCACTGGATCAGCAATTTGATACCGTTAACCACAGGACAGTTCACTAACCGATCCGTTTGAGCAGTTAATGTATTTTTTCTGTTAAACGAATGGATTACGCAATTCTGACCCATTGCATGTGGTTTGCGTCCAAGAGCTGCTTTGATATTTAGGCCTACTTTTGGATAACAAAATTTTGTCGCCGGAGACGCTTGGTAAAGCAACTCTAAAAAGTTTGATTTCGCTTTTACGGTTATTCGTTTTAACAAGGCGAATGGTAGTCAATATGCGCCGTTTGAAAATTAATCCAGATCTACTGCTTAATTGAAGATGAGCCCATAAAATTATGTGTCTTTTTCATTCTTAATACAGGAGAACATCTTCAATAATCGTTTCAAAAAGGTTGGGTGTGCTTCGAAACATTATTCCAGTGCAGTGTTTCTACCTGGAATAGACGTTTACTAAAACTTGGGCCCCGATAGTCCAATAACGCCGTAAACTGTAATATGCTAAGCGTATGCACGATCGGTAGCGCTCCTGATTACACTTTGAACACAGGGTGCAAAAATTGCCACTAGTAAACTTATGACAATATGCAGGTAGTATACGCTTTATAAAGTGCTGGTTACCCATCTGCATGATGGTAAAAACTAGCTATTCCAACGGTTTATCTAACAGATCTCTCTTTGTGAAGAATGCAACTCAAAGACTCCGATACAGAGCAGCCAACAGTTGAGCATAGTTTTATCCAGTTCTGATTCCTAACCATAAAGCCTCACTATCGTCACCGTCGACAGCTCTCTTACGACCCCATAAGCCTATAATATGCATGATGGTAAAAACTAGCTATTCCAACGGTTTATCTAACAGATCTCTCTTTGTGAAGAATGCAACTCAAAGACTCCGATATAAAGCAGCCAACAGTTCAGCATAGTTTTATCCAGTTCTGATTCCTAACCATAAAGCCTCACTATCGTCACCGTCGACAGCATGACAACAGTGTTCACCATTGATTTTTCGCTCTCTTACGACCCCATAAAGCCTATAATAGATAAAACCTGGGTATCTACGATGTGAACGCCATGTCACCTTGCTTTTGAATTAATTTTGACTACGTAGTCATATAACAGGTGACTGGAGTGCTTACGTCATGTCATTGAATTAGTGTTCAGCACTTCCCTGATAAAACTGTATGTTAGGAGAAATCACTTGTTCGAGTTCAACAGACGTTTTCTACTGGGTTGAACTTCCACCTAGGTTAATCCGTTTCTATAAATTTACGACGAATAAGAAGTGAGGATTAACAATTATAAGTTACTCTTGGGGTGCACTATTTCCAAATCTCTATATCTCAAAACCATGACAGCTACTTAATTACGCAAAATGCTGTTATCTTTATAGTGTTTCGAATGGTATGTGATTCTGATTTGCGTCATATTCACCGTCTAGTAAAAGTTTCCTCGAGTGATGAACCGAAGAAGTTTTATTCCAAAACTCCAGCGAATTTCGCAGAAGGGCCGGTAAACTAACCACAAGAATTTGCAAAAAATATTTGACTGAGCATTAGTAGAGCTATAGGAGAGGTGCAGTTTCGGCACTTGGTGTAGTGTAGCAGTGGCCAAAGAATGTTGGAACATAGAAGTAAGTATTATCCTGATGACGTAGAGTAACTCTTGTTAAAGATGTGACTGCTGGTCTGTTTGTCGAGTTTGAAAATTAACTTGCCCACGTTTCACCACCAAACAAGGAGACATCCTTAGGGCGTGGTTGCACGGGTGCAATAAAAGTACGTACTATAACTATATTTAGATACATAGTGGTAATCCAGTTGTCAGCTAAAATTTATTTTCCAAGTATCGTTTTGACATCCCTTCCTTCTACTCTTCTTGTGTGTTTTTGTGCAGCGAGTTATGGGCACAAAACTCAAGTATACCGATCTGCCATTACCCTCGCGTCAAAGCTCTTTTAATTCTTTATAATGATTACGTAAAGCGCTTACATTAAATGTTGAAAACTTTTCAAGGCGTAAGGCTACTGTGGTGTCGCAATGAGCGACAGCATTTTGTTAAGCTAGCAGTTACTGATATTTGTCAATTTCCGTGTGTTTCACAAAGCATCAGACGATCTTACGCCCTGGGAACTAACAAAAACCCGGTTGTCAACTGTCAGTAGTTAAGTAGTGGAAGCACATTTTTATTGTGAGGACCCAGATAAAATTTGTCCGCCTTAAATTCAGATCACTCACTTTTCGCCATCTCCTCACCTCTTCTGACGAGTCCCTTCTCACTGGTCCCCATGGAAGCCAAGGAACACTGAATTCGTGTTCCGATCCCAGTGTAGTCCATTAACGGTTCTCATCCTTAGCCACATGAAGTCCCATCAACCATCAGCCCTTCACGGCTGACCAAACACATGAGCACTTCTCCAAGTCCGAGTTTTTATCTTTACTAGTAATTACGCAGATTAATCGACTACCGTAGTGATGACCCGTTTGCTGTAAACAGCTTAGTGATAGTCCTTAATGCGTAAGTATAGAAAAAATCAAAGCGTCTAACTTCATCACTTCTGCATACCTGATACGTCTCAAGGTCCCAAATCAAAATAATTGCTTCCTAATCTTGTCCGAAGCCTTCCGCTGCACCTTGGTTTTGTTCCATCTCAGCCCCACAGAAGAGACGGCAACTTCACCCGGCCTATTCAGCTCAAACGAAGAGAACCAGATTGTTTTTTTAATTCCAGCAAAACTTGTGCTTGGCGTGGGGCTGGTTCCTGCACTCGTATTCTCCTGCAGATATTGTGAATCATACGGATTGCGATGTCAGATTTCAGGCTGCTATACAGCTCATCAAACAGCCGTCAGAAAGTATGGATACTGTACTGGAAGAAAACAAAGTGAATTTTCCTACTCAGATGGTGATTATCTCAGACAGCTTTCTGTTACCTTGTTAAACTTTTACCTTGCGACATTTGTGAGCACAACCCAATATCGGTCGTGTGGTTGTTGGCCAACCTGACACTAAGAAAGCATAAACCTGAGCACTATCTCACTAAAAGTAACTAAAATGCCCTCCAGATTTCGGTTTGTTCCAGGAGTAGATGAGAGAGTGTTCGTGTCTGTTCAATCCTCCTCGTAGCTGGACGATCAAGGATCACTTCGTGCCAAAATTCCATGCACCATTTATTGGCACACAGCACAAGTGCCAAACAATAAATTCACAACAACGGAAAGCGCTTATAAGAACTGAATTACTATGAGTGCAGTTTCTAATATCATTTTCTGGAATGTCAGCTTACAATTTCAACTAGATACGGTAACATTTACACTACACTCAATTGGTGTTTATTACCCTTACTTTATTTGACCTGTTCAACCCTTACCGCACATTTTCACGCTCTCTGCCCTCCTAACCTTATACAACTCAGTCCGATGTAGTTGTGGCTGTTCCTGTGGGGATTGCAACCCTACGAGAATAGGCACACTGACCAAACAGACTGGACCGTTGATAAATTGACCCGCTTCACCAGTGCAGGATTATGATGCTTGGTCCGTGCAATAACCATATGTCAAGTTGTACACAACAAAAGAGAGCCATCGGGTTCGGATAGAGTCACAAAGCATCGTGATTGGTGGTGGTGTTAGTAGCAGTAAGTAAACAATGCATGCCTTCAAACTTCAGAAAATTCGTAGAAAATAATTTCTTTAGAGGGGCGTGCTGCAAAGTGACTATACCTCCAGCGGACAGATGCCTTTCTAATATAGTTCGTCTATTTGGTTTAAGGCTTTTGTCTGGAGATTGGTCTGTAATTGTGGTTCGGTTGACCCGGAAGAATACCTGATTAAAGTGAATAGAAAATGCCTGTAATTATTAGCAGTTGTTGGATACCTATGACTAGGCAGGGCACACATTC